TTTTTGTTTTTAATATGCATATGTAGGTATGTGTTTTGCTTTTTTAATGCTTTTGTATTTTACACGATATACAAAATTGTAAATAAAATTTTATCTTAAATATTCTGACATAATTAAACCATCTATGTGAATCTTATAAGGATAATCTCGGTTTGTATAACAAGTTAATGAAAAATTTTGATATCAATAAAAGTTGAATGCATAAGATGTTAATTAAGAAAAAAGGCAAGATCCAGATCCCAAGAAATTTAATGTTAATATCGGCAGTACTGTAACTTTCAAGTGCCATACCTGGGAAAGTTCTTATGAAGAAAAGATTTGTAAACAATATTCTGGAAATGTCTCAAAGTCAGCTATAAAAATATGCTGGGAAAAATAGAGTTCCGTTTAAAATTTTTGTGTTGATCTTAAAAGCACTTTTCAAGATCATTTCAAATTAATATCATCTTAAAACCTTATTACTTTTGTTTCAAACATTATAATATATAACCGTTCGAGAACTTTTACCATGCACTATAATATCAAATTTCTTGGATACGGTTTTGCTTTTTTTTTTAATTTACATCTTATGCTGTCAACTTTTACTGATATCGAGGTTTTTTATTAACTTGTACAAATCGAGACGATCCCTTGTTAATACATACATGAAATCGTATCGCGGTTTTGATGCGGACTTTATGCGGATATTACTATGTATAATATAGTATATACTGCCAGAATCGGCATTTGATTCTGCGATACATATATTATTGTATATTATATATTTATATTAGTCCAAATACATCAAAAAGATGATTATACGAGTTCTGTATGTACTAAGATCCACATGGGTGATTTAATTATGTATAAAATATATAAGATAAGATTTTATTTACAATTTTGTATACAATTTTGTAAAATAAAAAAGCATTAAAAAAAAGCAGCAAAACACAAACTCTGATGATCGGCGATAAATTCAACCAATTGCTTCTAACAAATTAATTTTCTATACGTATAATTTATCATTTCTAATTTTTCTTCCCAAAATCAAATAAAAGCTTTTACATAGTAAAGTTGCATTTTTTTGCAATGCGATTGATTAATCGATGAATTAAAACACTTGCTTAAAATTTAATAGCTTTATTTAATTCAAATTAATGAAATTATTACGTAAGATAAATAATTGCTTTACAAATTAATCGTCGATTCAATTGATGATCCGAGTTTGATCGTCCTTATAATTAAAATCATTACATAGCAAAAAATGCAGGGACACCTTGTGCACATTACGTGTTATACATTTCCGTTACGAAGATGCCGAAGCCTGCGGATAGGCAACCTACCAGATGTCTCATTGCACTATGAGAGATTGACGTAAGCCAGCCGAGGTTGATTCGCGTCGATACTTGTAAATGCATTACAAGCCAGGTGGAATTAACATCACGTAATGCGTGCATGCAGTTGGTGCATTATAGAGTCGTATTGATTATATTCTCATTTTCCATTATGTTGCAGGCAGCAACGCGATAAATGTACTGGAATCTGTATTTTTTTCAGATTTCTCTTCTTGAAAAGCTTCCTCTCTTTGAGAAAGAAATTGAAGATTCGTTAATGGAGAGAATTTCATTGATATTTTTATTAATTCATTTCCAAGGCTAGACATATATTTGAAATACTTTTATTTAAAACACGCTATTTGCAATACAAGCGTATTTTGTATTTTTTATTTTAGCGGATCACATAAAAATATTACGTATTTTGTATTTAAAATCGAAAGACTGAAAGCTTTTTGTATCTTGTAATTCAAATAATAAGGTTGATTATCAATGTTAATATTTGAAATACAAAATACAAAATATAATTATCTTATCAATACTGTTTTTCAAATGAAAGTATATTAAATACAGCCTGTCCTGTTTATTTCTTGACATTTTCAACAAGAATATTGAAACTTGTCTTTATTTGCATAAAATTAAATTATATAAACTATGTACATGCAAATATATGTATACAAAATATTACCAAAAAACAGTACTATCAAATAAAAAAACATTTTCACATCCCATGCGGACATTTAAATCTTTCATAAAAGTTTGTTACAATGGCTGACTTAAATCATGTTTATCTTTTGACCGTAACAAATAATTTTCATGAAAGCAGTGTCCACATGGGGTGTAAATATTTTTTTATTTGATAGTATGTTTTGTATTTGATAACCCAATAATCAAGAAACGTTGTAACATTGCTACAATGTTGCTGAAATGTTCCAAAATGTTTCTTGCTTACTGGGAGTAGTTGCATTCTTACTCTTTAGAGTTTGTCAACACTCGAGGGAACTTATAGTTTAATGCCGAATCCGAATGGCGGGATCCACAAATCGCGAGTCAATCTCGCACTGAGCAGCGAGCTATTCGGCGTAACCCAAGCAAAACAATAAGTCATTGTGATATCAAAATGATGTCAAAATGACTTCAAAATAATTATTAGATCATGAATCATTAAAAATCATTTTTCAATCATCATTTCCTATTCATTTTAATATCATTTTGATTTGTTATCATGACTTGTTGTTCTGCTTCGTCGGAAATCGTTACCGTACTGAAAAAAAATACAATCAATTTTAATAAATGTTTAGTTGAATACTATCAACTAAATATTTATTAAATATAAAGATATATTTATTTGATACAAGAAATGTTAATTTGATTTAACAATCATTTTTTTATTGAACAAATATTTATTATAATTTATATTATAATTTATAATATTTACTTACTGTAAGTAAATGTTTAGTTGGCAGTATTGAACTAAATATTTATTAAAATTAACTATATTTTTTTCTCAGTACAATTACTGTTTTAAGTATGTATAAAAAATATATGCTGCCTTAACATTAAACTAAACACAAGAATCGATTATTATATACATATCGGCCTATTAGTGTTTAAAAAAGAATTCCCCTTCAATCCCCTATAATCCGATTTTATAACTACTCAAGTAGAATACGGAGTCATAATTAAATTAAAATGATATCGCAGAACATCATTCACAGAACATTATGATGTCGTCATTTGATATCTAAAAATTGATTTATAAGTAATGAAGAATATTTGAATGAGATCAAGATGATGTCCTCATGATTTCTGTGTTCTAGTTGGATATAATTGGCCCACTTCAGCGACTCATGTCCAGATAGCAATTAATTCATTTGAACTAAAAAAAAAATTCATTTTATTGACTTCTTTATGAATTAGCGTAATTTGTTCGAAATGAACTCAAAAAGAACTTCTTTCCGACAATTAACAAAGGATGTAAAAGTACTTCTTACAGAATTAAATTCAAGTTAATTTAAAGGAATCCTTTTTTGTTTGTAATAGGTTCGAAAAAAAAAATTCATTTTTGGCTCGGTCACAATATATTCTACAAGTCATAATCTGCCGCCACAATTGTACTGTATTTGTGAGTGATTGCTATGAGCATAGTAAAAATTAGTTTTTGTGATAATGTTTTGTATACATACATACAAAATGTATTGGGTTGGCAAGGAAATAATTGCGTTTTTTTAGCTCAAAGTTGTATATGAAATTTAAATTTAAAAAAAGGATTTTAAAGCTTGAAATCTCCACTTTTAAGAGCTTACCACATTTTTTAAGTTTATATGAGTTTGGTAATTTTTACATACCAAAAACTACGAGTTGAAAAAGACGGGAAATTTTCTTCTCACTTTGTGGGCTTGTAATGTGTCCAAAACAAATTTGAAAAAATTTTCGACTATCTATCGTAAAAACTTGATATTTTCCCTACAAAATCGTTTTTTAAAAATATTCCTACGATTTTTGGTTACCGAGTTATCACGGATTAAATAAAAGGATCATTTTTACTTTAATTGCTCATAACTCCGTTAAAAATTGTCGTATCGCAATTTAAAAACGAGATTCTTAAAGCTGAAACTTTACTCTATCAAGATATATTTATGTTGATTGATAAGAAAGTAATTGCGGTTTTTACTGATAAATGCCTTTTAAAAAAACGCAATTACTTTCTTGCCAACCTAATATATTACATTCATATGCCTACATAATTATATGTGTTTAAATATAAAAATAAAATTTAATTTGATTAAAAACTGAATTTGAATAAAAACTGAAGTAAGATTTATTCTTAAAAATTAAGAAATATATGAATGAATAAAAATATGTGCTCCGGCAAAAAATGGTTGAAATGAATCCACAAGTATCAACAATGGCTGCATTCAGCAGACAAAGCACAGACAAAGCATATATATATATTATTTGAAAGTAAAATGTTAATAATTTTCTTGAGAACATTACTAACAAATTATTGCAAAATTCGATCAAAAATTTCAGCAAATTACAGCTCATTAACTATTTTCTCGCAGTTTGCCGATAAAGCTTAAGTGAGAGCAAATTATCAGGAAAAACCACATATGATGTAAGAATCCCTTCCATCATGACAGAAACCAAGCAAAGGTCGATTGTTAATTTACTGTTAGGTTGTCAGTAAGCATGTTTTTTGTCGACAATTTGTTCTCAGCAGATTTTGTTGTATATTTGCTATCAATTTGTTGATATATAACTAAATATATAACAAAATATGATATATAACAGAATTTGCATGAAATATTGATGTCTTTTTGTTGAAAAAATTTGTAGCAGTGTTTGACAAAATTTGTTTTCGACAGACTCAACTGACTGAGAAGCTGTTTATTGATATTAATTTCGAATATTTCAATATTAATTTTGAGATAAACGTCTAAATATTTTATATGTCATTTGTTGATCTTTTGGGATGATTTAAATCAAAATCTGATCATTTAGAAATCAGAATTCAATTGATCAAATTTGTATTATTTTGTTAACCAGGATAAAATTATTAAAATTTTTGTTTCACACATGTGAGGAAAGAAACAATTAGATCATTGTTGATTTATCAGAAAGATAATCAATCAAATATTCATTTGATCGTTAGATCAACCATGTCACATTTAACCCTAACCTAATCTTACGCCAATGATCTAACCTCAAACGTGACTATAAAGATTGTAAGAAGATACAGAAAAAGGATTAATTTCCTTCGGCTTTACATCATGAATTCATTATCAAGAATTGTTCGTGGGTATGTAATGATCTATAATTTAACTTTGTTCATGTACGTAGATCAATTACTTTTTTAAGTGAAATTGCTAACCTTTGTTATACATATGATATACGAGAGTACTAGAAACACTTATTTAAGAATATACATTTGTTTTTGAAAACAGTTTTAAAAGGATAGTTAATCCTCTGTCTTGCATCATTGTTTTTCGCTATCATCTGCACCATATATACACACACATATATATATATATATATATATATATATGTATATGTAA